GACATAAAATAAATAAACCCTTATTATTAATATAAAAGTCTTTCATATTTTTATTATAAGAGTTTGAATCATTACTTCTTTTTTTTTTTTTTTTACCTTATCATCTCCCTTTTCATACAGAAACCACTTTTTGCTCTAATACATTAAAAAGTAAAAACAATTCAAGCTGGACGCTCCAGTTAGATCAGACCTCACTTTGTTTATATATACCATGTTGGGGTACATTATTTGCCTTCTTGCTTTTCAACTTCTATTTTTATAAATTTCGAAAGTCGCAAGTTCGAACATTACATTTGTTGATGATCATTTCAAATGAAAAAGTATAACAAAATACATGGAAATTGGAGACATCCAAAATTTTGGCTAAAGGAATCTGATTTTTTAGGTGTTGCCACCTGTTTTCCAAAGTCAACAGCTTCTCAGACTTCATTTTATACTCTATTAAACATAATAGATTATTTGCTTACCTCAGTTGCTAGGTATTGAATAATTTCTTCGTCGGCCGGTTTTCAACTAGAAAAATTTTGCTTTTATTTTGTTGTCTATCATGTATATGACATGTAAAAGATCCAGGTTGATAGAGAATTGCTCTTTTAATTCTGTCTTTGAGATTGGAAAGTTTGACCTGAAATCCTTTCACAAATTATATAAGCAAGGTCTTCCCAAGGAGGGTTCCTTCAAGTTCAGGTTCATTCAAGTTCAAGAAGGCTTTGCACCTGCCTGTTTAATCTGTACAATTTGGTTTAATTAGCTTTAGTTTCTTCGTCTATTTTAGTTTAACATAATTCTACTCTGCTACGCATGCATTCATGATCTGTTTATGAAGTCAAATCTCTGGAACTAGTTGATTCCGAGCTTAAACTTTGTATGTGATAAATAGTAGTCCAATAATATTTCTTATGGTTTTGCATGGATTTCAAGCTTCTGCTTCATTACTTGGAGCCCATATACCAAGAGAATTGGCTGTCTTCTCTGATCAGGTTTAATTTTTCTGCACTTCAGGTAAAGTTGATGCTGCATGGCTTCTGTGAGCCATTCAAATGATGATGCAAACGAGGTGGACGTCGGAAGCCAGTCATCCTCTCACCGGCAGACAAATAACATGCAGTATGTTCACAAGGTTGGAGTTCCTCCCAAGCAAAACCTCTTCAAGGAATTCACAACCACTTTCAAAGAAACGTTCTTAGCAGATGATCCACTACGTCCCTTCAAGGATCAACCGAAGTACCGGCGGTTCATCTTAGGCATCCAGACTATCTTCCCTATACTTGACTGGGGAAGAAGTTACAACTTTGCCAAATTCAAAGGTGATATCATTGCTGGGCTGACTATTGCAAGTCTCTGCATTCCTCAGGTATTTTCTCTACTCTAAGAACATACAAGTGGAAGCCTGTTAATCTTTGATCAATCTTCTTCATGTTCCATTCAAAAAACTTATGATTCACTTCGCTGGAAAAACAGGATATTGGTTATGCAAAGCTAGCAAATTTGGATCCACAATATGGACTTTGTAAGTTTCCCACATTATTTCTCAACACCTTTAATTGCCTAAATTACCCTGATTCTTGGATTTATTATGAGCCATATTTCTTAAAGGAAGTCATTTAACCTTTGCAGACTCCAGCTTTGTTCCTCCATTGATTTATGCCATCATGGGTAGTTCAAGAGATATAGCCATAGGACCGGTTGCTGTGGTATCACTTCTACTAGGGACTCTGCTTCAAAATGAGATTGATCCCTTAAAAAATGCCGCTGAGTATCGGCGGCTTGCATTTACAGCTACCTTTTTTGCTGGGATCACCCAAGCAACCCTTGGTGTTCTTAGGTAACATTGTCTACCTCATTCTCCGAGGAAAATTGCAAATAAAATATTTTCCCTTCTAGCCTTGTATAGCTCATATTTTCTGGTGTGGATCTTCTAAAGGCCTAGAGTTCACCATCCTCACATATTTTTTTTCCTCTCAAAAAAGGTTGGGTTTCTTGATTGACTTCCTGTCCCATGCTGCTGTTGTTGGTTTCATGGGTGGAGCTGCCATTACAATCGGTCTCCAACAGCTTAAGGGTCTTCTTGGAATCAAAACGTTTACTAAGAAAACAGATATTATTTCTGTAATGCGCTCCGTTTGGGGAACAGTCCATCATGGAGTAAGTCTCTCTCTCTCTCTCTCTCTCTCTCTCTCTCTCTCTCTCCTGTTTTACCCTAGAAAGCTCAAGAATTCCCGAACACAATCGATGTTAACGTTTGCTTCCAATTCACTAAATTTAACACTTTTTGCAGTGGAACTGGCAAACTATAGTAATTGGGGTCAGCTTTCTATGTTTCCTTCTGTTTTCCAAGTACATCGTAAGGGTTTCTAACCCATATTAATTTTCATCCGAACTTAGTACGTATTATATGCTTGTGAATAGGTTTCTGACTGAGCCTTACATGTTTTATAATAATAGGGAAAGATGCAGAGGAAACTTTTCTGGGTGCCTGCAATTGCTCCTTTGATATCTGTTGTTCTCTCCACCCTTTTTGTGTTTCTAACTCATGCAGAAAAGCAAGGAGTTCAGATTGTAAGCTCTCTTATCTATATCTTTCTTAGTGTCCTATATGACAAAACACTAGTATACATAATTATAGTTTTAGCAATATATAAATTATAACAGGAGTGATGGTCATAGCAATGATGAAATTAATTTCTAACTGTTATATTTCTATCTATTTGTACAGGTGAACCATATAGCGAAAGGAATCAATCCTCCATCCGTACATAAAATCTTCTTCACTGGCCCATATCTTCTAAAAGGTTTTAAGATTGGTGCAGTCGCTGGTATGATAGGATTGACGGTAAGCAATTTTGTCAACATTATTTTCTCTTATCAACAGAAGTATAACATAGGTTACTGTACCTAAGTTTACCTTAACATTTCTGTTTTTCTTATTTGGTGTGTTAATCAGGAGGCTGTAGCAATTGGAAGAACATTTGCTTCTATGAAGGACTATCAATTGGATGGAAACAAAGAAATGGTGGCACTGGGAGCAATGAATATTATTGGTTCAATGACATCCTGCTACATCGCCACAGGTAAGAAAGGCTAATGACATAACAACAAAAGGCTAAATATACTGGCAATATGTCTAAAACTACACATACTAATAATGACAAGGTGGAAATAATTAGTTGTTTATAATTGATGTTATTTGCTGATTACTCTACAGGTTCATTTTCTCGATCTGCTGTAAATTACATGGCTGGTTGTCAAACGGCAGTTTCTAATATTGTCATGTCCGCCGTTGTGTTTCTAACCTTGGAATTCATCACACCCCTTTTTAAGTACACTCCAAACGCCATTCTTGCTGCCATCATTATATCAGCTGTTGTTGGCCTAATTGATTTTCAGGCTGCAATTTTGATATGGAAGATTGATAAATTTGATTTTATTGCTTGCATGGGAGCCTTCTTTGGAGTAGTTTTTTCATCAGTCGAGATAGGCCTTTTAATTGCAGTAAGAACTTTGATGTTCACTACCCTAATCTCAATTATTTGTAGCTTGTATAGTGGATTTAAATCATTTCTATCTGAACCTCTTGGAATGCAGGTCTCAATATCCTTTGCTAAAATCCTCTTACAAGTAACTAGGCCCAGAACTGCAGTTCTTGGAAAGATTCCCAGGACAAATCTGTATAGAAATATTCTACAATATCCAGAAGCAACTACAGTTCCAGGCGTACTAACTGTGAGAGTTGATTCTGCAATTTATTTCTCCAACTCTAACTATGTTAAGGAGAGGTATAGATTCTTCTTAACCTTTCTTCATACTCAAACACTCAATCAATGCAGTTTTCTCTTAAAATGAAAAACATAAAAAAATATTACAGCTAATTATCTGTATCTGCACAAATTTGTGAACACACTAAATTGGACAAAAATCTAGCAGCTAAGTAACTATCATGACAACATCTTTGCAGAATATTAAGATGGTTAATGGATGAGGAAGAAAAAGTCAAAGCAGCCTGCCTACCAAGGATCCAGTTCTTGATTGTTGAGATGTCACGTAAGTTTGTTACACGGTTTTTCATTTTTATTTTATTTTATTTTATTTATTTATTCATTTTATTTTTTATTTTTTTGTGGTGGTGGGGTTTCAAACCTCCACTCTTGGTTCAAAACCTTCTGTTTTGGAAACCATGTTGCAATATAACACGTAAGGTTAATTTTGTTTTGGTTGCAGCTGTCACTGACATAGACACCAGTGGAATCCATGCCTTTGAAGAGTTACACAGGAGTCTCCAAAAGAAAGGTGTTCAGGTAAAGCTGTTAGCTATGCATCCAAAAGTAAACTGGGAGACTATACTATATTGAATCAAAGAATAAATTATACACTTGCGTTTAAACTTACTCAATCTCAATGGCCTCACCGGACGTTCACTTGTTGTTGCACAGCTTGTTCTGGCAAATCCAGGAGCAGTGGTGATAGACAAGCTGCATGCGTCGAAATTTGCATATTTAATTGGTGAGGATAAGATCTTCTTGACTGTTGCAGACGCTGTATCATCATGTTCTCCAAAAATGGTGGAAGAAGAAGTATGAGAAATGAAATGAACAATGTTGTGGATATATGCAGATGTGTTTGCTTGCTCGGGTCCAGCTATATTATAAAGGGAGTTGAGTGCAATTCCTGGGATAATAATAATAATAATGTAATAAGACAACTAAAAGTGCATAATGAGGTATTATGTAAGATAAGGTTAGGTTTAAATTACAAAAATATCCATAGAAACAGAATCCAATAAGGATGTGTAATGCAAAATGAGGGAATCCAACTTATGTCTTCAAATACCATAGGGATATTGTCCTATACTTTCTCTAGAGGAAAAAAAAAAGGTTAAATTTTAATTTGGTCTCTCAAGTATTATATGAATCCTTAATTTGATCTTTAAACTAAAAAAATCTCTAATTTGATTCTTACTATTTACCAATTTGGCCCCAAATTGGTTATTATGTACAAAAACAGATGATTTGTCTTTTTATTAATGTAACACATGGCCATTAAATAATGGTTTTCTATCATTAAAGCATCAACTTTTTTTAATAGAAAAATCAACTTTGGGTCAATTTAGTAAACAGTAAGGATCAAATCAAAATTGTTTTAGTTTAAAAACTAAATCAATGATCCATGTAATAGTTGAGAAATCAAGTTGAGGGTTTAACAAAAAATATATATATCCATCTTTTCTTTGCAATTAGTGTCTCAAAGCTAAAAAAATAAATTGTGCTTTATGTCTCATTGATTAACACTTGATGCTTTTTAATTTTGAGATTTTAAATTTAAAATAAAAAGTGTTGTGTAGTTCAAAGTAAATTAAACGATATAAAATTATTAAATAGAAGGTGAATATTTTAATATTAAAAACGATCATTTTATTTAATAATTTTTATTTTATAATTTAACTTAATTTAAATTATAAAATAAAAACTCTTAAATTTAAATTCAGAATTTAAGGTGAAAAAAGAGTGTAATCTCTTAAGACCATAAAAAAGATTAGTTGAATTAAAAAGAATCAATAAAAATAAATTAATATAAGTATTTTGATTTTAAAATAACCTAATTGTTTTTTTATATTTATGCCGTCAATTACTGGAGCCAATGAAAGCTTTTTCTTTTATATATTCTAAGATAGTGACATGACATATCCAATAACTTTGAGTTCTTATTTTTTCTTTAATTGCCAATTGCTTTCCTATGTTTTCGGCCAAAAAAAATTGTCAATAGCCTTGATTTTTTATAAACTAAGCATCCTACAATTGTATTCGTATGAACATGGACAAGAAAGAGGTCAGATTCACAAAGAACCACCCGTAACTTCTTAAGCATATAAAAAAACAAGATTCTCCAATGGACGTAGGAATGACCTTAATAATAAGTTAAAATAAGAAAAAATGACGTATTTGTAATTTTGAAAAGAATTGTTATCTACTGCACAACTTTCGTAATTTTCTAAAGTGCTTTTAGTTTCTAGAAGCTGCAACAAACTCAGAGTCAGAGGGTGTTTTTTTTTTTTTGGTTTCCTTCCGGTATCTGAGGCTTCGGCCTGACTAATTCGGACTCGATTCGCGTCACGCACTTGGAAATGGTGGGTGAATCTCCCAACAGGGACTGCTGCATACACAAGAACTCGAACTCAAGACCTTGTTTAAACTGAAATAAACCGCTTACCACTTGATCCAACCCCTCGTTGGTAAGTCAAAGGGTGTTTGGGGAGCTTAAAATGTAAGTGGCTAAATTTTTCTCTCATTCGGCGGAGAGTTCAAAATTTTACTTCTAACAAATTCAGAGTGTTTATTTAAGGCACCTGGGCCTATAGGTCGGGTAAAAGTTGCGCCTGCCAGTCGTATTAGTTGGGTTTAAACAGCAGTGAGTATTTATCGATACAGATTGGGTATAAGATATATTTAATATTTAATTTAAAAATTTTTAGGTATAATATTTTAAATTTAATATTTATTATAATACTTTGAGATCTATACTTGGTATTTAACTTAAATGGTTACCAAATAACTTATAAGTATATATTTATATACTTGTTAAAAGATATTTTACTTTAATTTTTTTAAAATTAAAATTTAATAAAATATTATTTATTTTCAATATACACTTACATAAAATTAGTAAAAATTTAATAAAATATTATTTATAACATTATAAACTTAAATATAATCTAAAATAATAATATAAAACTAAAATTTAATTTCAATTTAAAACTCAAATATACGTACTATTAAAAAACTAAATCTACATACTATTAAAAAACTAAACTCAATTAAATAATTAACAATAAAAAAATAAAGAATATGTATTAAAAATAATAAATAAAAATAAATTAAATAACAAAATAAAAGTGCTTCAAAAAAAATGTTTAGACTTTTGAGTGCATAATTTCCCTAATCCTCTATTTCAGTTTGTTAAAAATGGATAGTGATTGATGTTATTGTATTTATTTTAATATCTTGATGTTTATATATGCTTCTAACTTATGATTTTTATCATATTTATCATATTAAATTTAGAGTTTAAAACTAAAAATATCATCTACACAATAAAAAAAACCTATGGCTCGAAAATCACTAAATAAAAAGTAAAAAAAAAAAATCTAAAAACAAAATTTGAAGTTATATGTACTCACCACTGGCTAAGAATGCACGGAAGGACATTTAGCCTTCTGGGTCAATTGGCTTGTAGCCAGCTCTGAAAGTGCACTTCCAACAACACTTTACAGGTTCAAATCCCTCTATATATTGAAATTTGAATTTGTTCAAAGAAAAAAAAAAAAAACAAGTTAGGAAAAAGTTGTTTAGAAATTTGATATGTGTTTGATTTAAAAGTTGTTATTTGTAAACTACATATGTCATTATTTTTATTTTTAAAAATTAGTGTTACTATATAGATATTAAAATATAATAAGTATACATAAAATT